GGTGTCACCACCAGCTTGTGTCAGAGCTAAGGTGAGAACCCACTTCCTCTTCCTCCTCATCCATCAGTCTTTCCTGTGAACCAGTTTTATGCTGCCCTATGAACAGTCCACATTTAGCAGAGCCTGCCCCTGGGCTCTCTTTCCTTGAGTGCTAAGAATTCATGTTAATCCTCATAGAGAATTGAGAGATCGGAGCCTTCAGTAAGTGTCAACCAACATTTACGGAGTATTGTCTGTCAGAACAGTGCTGTGACAGTGCTGGGGATAAAACAACACAGACACGGGGGCATCAGCCCCAACCCCCATGCTGCTTTATGTACTCTCAGAGCACAGGGACGCCTCAATCCATGCTCTTACCACAATGACTGTGTCATCTTTTGATTGTCAGTCTCTCCTACTAGACTACAAACTTCCTGACAGCAGAAGCTCTTTACCTTTCTTTGTTTTCTCAGCACTCTGTATCCTATTGCACAAGTCAGGACCTGGCACATTATAGATGCTCCATATATAATGGTTGAATAGATGAATAATCTTACCTCCTCATTTTGTCAGTGAAGAAACTGAGGACCAGAGAAGAATGACTTGCCCAAGACTACAAAGCAAGTTAGTGGCAAAACTGGGGCCAGCAACCCAGTCTCCCACGCCGAGTACCATCCAACTCTGTTAAAAAATTCCTGCATAATGTATGAAAAAGAAAATAATTTAAAAGAATGATCTTTCCATGTTTTCCCACTTTTTTTTTTTTTTTTTTGAAATGGAGTCTCACTCTGTTGCCCAGACTGGAGTACAGTGGCACGATCTCGGCTCACTGCAATCTCTGCCTCCTGCCTTCAAGCAATTCTCCTGCCTCTTCCCAAGTAGCTGGGATTACAGGCATACGCCACCACGCCCGGCCAATTTTCTTGTATTGTTAGTGGAGACAGGGTTTCACCATATTGGGCAGGCTGGTCTCAAACTCCTGACCTTGTGATCTGTCTGCCTCGGCCTCCCAAATTGTGGGGATTACAGGTGTGAGCCACCACGCTCCACATTTCCCATGTCTTTTACCCAGTTTTTAGCCACTTTCTTTTCTTTTTTTTAAGGCAATTGCACTTTTTCCTAAATTTCAGCTTATTAATATCCTCCCATCTAAAATAACTACTGTGGTTTAAAGCCATAATGATGCAGTTTTTCTGTGTGACTCGGTTGTATGTGGCAGAATGGCTCACTGGTACATTTTATAGACTAGAAGGACCTATTTCTCTCCTGTCTAGGTCTAATAGATACTAAGAGATGTAGAGATAAACTAAACAGCCACTCTGGCTATGTTTGTTTTACCAAACAAACATACTAAGTCTGCAAACATTTGCTGGTGTTTAGTATATGCCAGGCACTGTGCTAGAGTCCCAAGATCCAAAGATATATAAGCTCAGTTCCAGATGAAAAGGCTCTCACTGTTTAGTAGTAACATGCACATACATCCACACACACACCCACGTCTGATATGCTGTCTTAGGGGCTCCTCAGAGTAGTAAGTTCCTAACCAGGTGACTCAGTCTGAGTCCAACCAGGAAAACCACTCTAAGTCTTTCAAAATAAGGAATATAAGGAATTGGATGCACAGATAATGAAGAAGCTGAGAAGCCAACTGAGATAGTAAAGCACCACAGATATTAGCAACAGCAGGAAGATGCTACTGCTCCTGAGCCTGGAGGAACACAGGAGCAGATAGCGTTTGGGAAGCCAGGACATTTGTCAGGAGCACGTAAGGCACTGAGCATTGAGCACATGAAGCCATTGCTGGCGATGCTATCAGAAGCAGAGAGAGAAGAGAAGAAACACCCATCTTGTCCCCTGCTCTCTTTCAGTCTTTTATCACTGACTCCCATTAGCCAAGCCTGCCTTGAAGCAAGAGGGTAAGTGATCTTGTAGTGTGCAGGGCCGTGGGATGCTGAGTGGAGCTGGAGAATCATGAGGAAGGGAGCCAAGAGCAAGTGGCAGCTGCATGACACACCAGGTGACCTTGGGTAAAGCACTTAGTCTCTCAGTGTTAGTTTCCTTGTTGGTAATTTGAGAAGAATAACACCTCTCAGGTTTGTTATGAAACTTACGTGAAATAAAGTATGCGTAGGCATTTTATAAGCTTCAAAAAGCACATATACAAATGTGAGGACTTTTATTCTTTATTTTCATTCAATGTTTTGGATTTTAGGCTCTGGGGAAAAAAGGAAGTGAATGGTGTTTGGGTGTCACCAGGAACTGCAAAATGCCAGGATAATTATCTATGCAGAGGGAAATATCCTTTAATTTGACTGCTTGTTATCTCATTCTGTCTCTCTGCTCCATCAGTCTGTGAAAACCACTGAGTGATTTTGAGGAAATTGGCACATAACTGAAAGGATGTCAGAATATACTCTCAATTCTATTTGTAGATGCGTCCATGGCTTTGAGTCAAAAAGTGACAAGAAATAGGACTCTAGAAATTACTTCAATATTATTTATTCCACTCTTTTAATTTCACAGAGGACCAGAAGGGAGAAGGGATATGGGCACATGGCACAAGCTCAATAAATCTCTCTTAAAGGATTTACACAATGACACATGCCAGCTTCTTGGCTGAGAGAGACATAGAGCCCTGGAAGACCCTCACTCCTTCTTGGCTAGCCCTCTCGTCCTTGGACTTTAGGATTTCAAATTAGTCTTATATAATAGTTTATGCTTTCAACTTTTCCTTCTTCCTTTTTCATTATCATTAGGCTTCCTTTCTTTCCTTTTAGTCTTTTATCTCTTCTTTCTAATCACTTTAACTCCTCAATTTCATGGATGTTTTCCTATATACTATGTTAATGGACACTGAAAGCTTAGCATTAAGCTATTTCTATTTTAATTTGGGAGAGTGCAAGAGTTTCTTCAATAGCTCAATTCCCCTTTGTATTAGATCAGAAAGTATGACAAACTCTTTGATTTCTCCCAACCCCAGGGCTTACAGTGAAAATCATAAAGTATGATTCTTTTTTTTTTCTCTTTTTTAAGACAGAGTCTCTCTCTGTCACCCAGACTGGAGTGCAATGGTGCAATCTCAACTCACTGCAACCTCCACCTCCCTGGTTCAATCCATTCTCCTGCCTCAGTTTCCCAGGTAGCTGGGATTACAAGCACTCACCACCATGCCCAGTTAATTTTTTGTATTTTTAGTAGAGACAGGGTTTTGTATGTTGGCCAGGGTGGTCTCAAACTGCTGACCTCAGGTGATCCACCTACCTTGGCCTCCTAAAATGCTGGGATTACAGGCATGAGCCACTGCACCCAGCCTGATTTTTTCTTTCTACTGACAGAAAGTCCAGGCCAAGCCGGAACTGTTGACTAAATGCTGGGGTACTCTACCTGGCTCATGAGAATGGCAGTAATTCTACCTGTACAATGTGGTTTGACTCTCTAAGCAAAAGTAATCCTATTTTCTTTAATTTTTTATGTGTTTTTGGGCAATTGTTAAGTGAACAATAAAGTTTAGGATGTGTTCCTCGCTGTGGAAAGACTGTTTTGATTGTCTCTAAGTTTCCTTCTAGCTCTGACATTTAAGAAATCAGTATCATTCCACCAAGGAAGGCCTCTTATGGTCACAGAAGCACTAAGATAGTAATGATTCCCAGAGTGACTCATGGAATTCCCAGCGGTCCACTATGAATTGACATTTTACGGATGCAGAGACTGTGGCATCTTAAAATGTCATAGCTGGAAGAGTGTCAATCATTATCCGTTACCAGTACATCAAGGAGTTTGGGATCTGAAGCTTATTGGTATCCGGTCACTGAACCCTTCAACAGAGATTTATTGTTATTGTTCTCATGCCATGTGCCAAGCATTGTACTAGGTCCCAAGGTACAGTAATAAATAAGATAGATGAGGTACCTGACTTCACATATGCTAGTGAGGTAAAATGCATGATAACAAGGAAACTGTAATAAGAAAGATAATAGTCTGTAATAATTGCTTAAAAGATATGAATAATGTCATGGATTGATTCACTATTTTCAATGGACAGTGAATAATTTGTGGGGAGGGAGATGACTACAGAAGTGACTCCTAAGACAAGATCTGAATCTTGAGAGGAAGCCAACTGTGGAAACCAGGGTTTAAAAAAAAGGTAGGCAGAGAAAATGAGATATGCAAAGTCCCAGAGGCAGGAAAGAGTCTGGTATAGTTCAGGAGTGGACAGGCAGCCAATCTGACTATAATTAAATAGAAGAAAATTAATATGAGGAGTGGCTGGAGGAGTTGGTTTGGGCCACATTAACCTCATAGGCCCTAGTAAGGAGCTTTGGTTTCATTCCAAGTGTGGGAAGACTTTGAAGGCTTTTCCGCAGTTAAGAGGCATGATCTGGTCTACATTTCTTAAAGACACCTCTGAATGCAGTGAGGAAAATGATTTGTAGGAGAGAGAACGAGGCTATTGCAATAGTCCAGACCAAATATATATATATATATGTATATGTATACGCACACACATACACACACACACACACACACACACACACACACACACAAAATTGGAACAAGTGGAACTGGAAAGAAATAGAGAAGTTTGAGATATGTTTAGAAACTAGAGCCTGTAAGACATGCTAATCACTTGCATATATGAACTGAGAGAACTAAAGGAATAAAAAAATGACTTCCAGATTTTTGAGCAATTGGCTGGATGGATGTATTGTTACTGATGTAATGAACCTTAGAGGTGGGTGGGATACAGAAAGATGTATTTGCTTTAAAGGCAAATGGGGAGTGGACAGGTATGTTGACAGCATAAGAACTGGAATAATAGCACATATCATCCATGCCTTTAAAAAAATATGAAACTTTGAATTTCAAGCAATGGTATTCAATAGGTATGACTTTGCCCCTAAGGGACGTAGACCCCAGGGGTGTTGCTAAACATTCTCCAACGCACAACACAGCTCCCACAACAAAGAGTTATCTGGCAGAAAATGCCAACATGGCTGAGGTTGGGAATCCCTACCTTACAGGTTGTCTTTTTGGCATTTATGCAAATGAAGTCCCAGAGAAGATGATCCTGGAAGGTGTCACTGCAGATAGAATGTGAGGAAGGGGCCTGGATTAGCCTCTGTGTCTGAGGCTGGTGAGAGCTGGTAAGTTATGGGGTTTGCAGAGTTTTCTAAGAGTGGAACAGTCTCTAGGAGAGGGTCTGAACCCTCTGGGGCCTTGAAAAGAACAGAACATTGATTCAATCCAATTAGGAGGCCCTGGATGCAGTGGGAGATGAGTTGGATATGTCATCTAATGAGAACTTAACTAAGCAAGAGGATTGATGGCTTTGAGCTTGGGCAAAATCAGGGATTTCCAGGGGGAGAAAAGGAGACTGGGAATCCTAAGGGACATGAGGAGAGGGAATGGGAACTCCTCTTTGAATCCAGGTTTGTTGGGGCAGGTGTTCAAACTAGAGGTCATTTAGAGTTTATTAGTTCTCATGCCTACCTGCACAGTAAAATCACCTGGAAAGATTTTCAATGTACTAATGCTGTAGCTGGGCCCCCACCCCAGAGACTATGATTGAATTAGTCTAGCCCCAGCACTGGAATTTTAAAAGGTACTCCAGATGTTCTGGGTTGAGAACTACCCTTCTAAGCATTGTACACTCTGATGCATATGGGGCCAGACAAGTAAAAGAAAAAGAGACAGGGTAGGCCCTGACTGAGTGGGCAGCCTCTGCTCAATCATTGCCCACTCTTGCCTTGTGGAAATCTGGGCTGTGTTGCCAAATCTTCCTGTCCTCTTGTTTTTTTTTTTTTGTTTTTTTTTTTTTTTTTTGAGAAGCCTAAAATCCAGATTTTTAAAATATTGGCTCTAAATATTTTAAAACTCCATGCCAAACAAAACATGTCTGCAGAGTACATGTTGGGCCTCTGGGCTGTCATCTAGCAACCTCTGACCCAGCCCAGTGGTTTTCACACTTTTTTTTTAACCACAAGAGGTTTTTTCCAAACAACTTGTTTTGTAGAACTGTTATAAATTAGATAAACTTAAGCAGAACCTTGGTTTAGAGCAGGACAGACACTCAGCCTCTCATTCCAGCCCAGGGCAGTTCTTAATGCTGCTCCTGAGACTCTCTGGTTCTGGGGAACCTCTCTGGTCCAGTTACCAGATGAGAAAACTGAAGACTTTATAATTCAGTCCTGGAGCAGAACCTGCCCCATAGGGCCACTTAGAAATAGGTGTGGGGATATTTGGAGTTGTCACAGTGACAAAGTTGGCACTACCCAGCACTCAGTGGCTGGGAGCCAGGAATACTAAACCTCCTGCAATGTCCAAGACAATAAAGACTTACCCTACACAAAATGCCAATCACTCCCTGCTGGGAAACACCAGATGTGGAAGTGGAGACCCAAGAGAAGGAACATCATCTGGCATGATCATGGCAAGTGCACCCTAGAACTTTGGCCTCTTCCCCAAATGCTTAATTAAGGACTTTCATCTGCACCCATAAGAATGGGTCACTGGCAGAGCTGAGTTGGCCATACTCCAAAACACAGGAGAAAAAGAGATGTTTTTAAATTAAACCCAAGTAGCCTCTTGAGGTGGGACAGCCATTATGTTAAAAAGCCAAGTGCTAGATTTTGAGAAGCAACTTGAGAGGAAATGGAGACTGCAATACCTTCAGCCTGGGCCAGGTGCCAGTGGCTGGCACTGGGAGGGGGCAGATGAGCTGTAGCAAGGAGCAGAGGTGCTGGGATATGCTGGAGCTGCACAGGTTTGTTGGCTCCATGGGTCATTTAATCCGTAGGCCAAAAGATGCCAGGTTCAAAAATAGGATGTGGGAGTAAAAGGTGAAAGGAGGGTGTCCCCAGCACTACAAGGAAATAGAGCCAAAAGAAAAATCATCTTCCTATTTTTGTCATCACAATGCCACACATTGTACAGAGTTTCACTGTTTGTAAAACCGTTGCAACAGGATCACCTTCTCAAGGACCGCCAGGCAAGGGGAGAAGTATCCCTATCTTACAGACAAAGAAATGGAGCCTCAGATTCATGCTTATCTGGCACATATCCTTTCAAGATCTGAGTTTATTTGTTCATGCTTACTTTCACCATCCACATGATGAAAGTCAAGGGAGGATTCCTATTCTCAGTGTGTAGATTAGACTAGCAATTCCCAAACTTTGGTAGGCATCAGAGTTACCTGGGAAACTTGATAAAAACACAGCAGGCCAGGTTCGACTGGAAGAAAGCCTAGGTCTCCCACATGCTATCAGCACACACTCCAGGTGATTCTGATCATCACCAATACCCCAACGGGTCTAACCCGGGTCAACAAGACAAGACCATTTACAGAGTGCTTGGATGCCACAGCAATGTCAAATTCCTACATGGGTATAAATGTTTCTCCTCTCAGCTAGTGATCAGCTGAGACAACATCCAGTGGTATGCTAGTTACCCAGCTCTCCATGAGGGGGGATCCCTGACTTGTAGTGTTTGCCTATTTCTGTGGTGTGAATACTGATGTCATGGCCGGTTTCAAAGTACTGAGGTGACACCACTGAACATGGAGTCAAGAAGAGGTATACACACCCAGTTCTTTTGAGACAGTCTGAGCCAGCTTCAGCACACATCTTTTGTGTCTCATGTCCAAAGATGGTGATCTTTCCCCTAAAATATCCAGAGCTGGGATGTGGGACAGGCTGATGACAGTAATAAGGAGTGCATGTTCTATAACATTATTTTCAGGGGACAAGAACATCCATTACTGCTATTCACCATTATCTTTGAAAAGCAATAGACATAATTTTGAATTTCAACTTTGTGACTATTGACTGTGTGATGAACAAGTCTCAAACCTCTCTGGGCATCCTATTTCCCATACTGAAACTAGAGATAATAATACATTCCTCAAAGAAAAACCATAAAGGCCCAAGGAAGTGATACCTGTAAAATAAGTGAGACAGTACTTGGCAACTAGTTGTACACAATAAAGGTTTGGGCCATTCTCTTCCTCTCCCACATCCTTCACATTTTGAAACCTAGAAAGTACCATGTAACTCTTTCCATCAAGATGCCTTGCTGATTCTAGATGACTTCTTGAATCAGAGACTCAACAAGGGCAAGTGCTTTGCTCAACAAGTCATAGGCAGCTGGTACGGAAGCCACCCTACATGAAAACAAATTGTCACTAGGTTATAGTTTTCTTTCTGCAGACCAACCTGGGAGCCAAGCTGTGGAAATTTCTGCATGCATGCATTGGAATGATTTTCTCACGGTCACTATTCTAGCAAAAGTTTTGATAGAGATGTCTGGAGGCATTTTGCCTTAACAGACTGGGCTTTGGAATTGGGCTTGTCCTGCAGCAGGTTGCTTGCACCTTTCTGTCACAGATGACGGAAATATTTAAAGCTATGGATTGTGTCTCTGCATCCTCTTCCCCTCACACCAGCTAATGCGTTTTTCATTTCTCTTGGCTGGCTCAATTTCCCACATGTTCTCCCAAGCTCTTCCTCTTCACTCCCCAGGGCTTCCCACAACAAACCTGCGTGCTTTGGCGTCTGAGTAGGAGGGGCTGCTGAAATTCATACCGGATATGTCTTTGGCTGTGTTTATCAGCCCCAGCCCAGGCTCCCTTGGCTGAAGGTGGCTGAAGCAGAGGGCTTTGACTGTTCAGGCGGCCCCAGCCTGCCTGCACCCTATCCCTGAAACCAACCTGCCCATTAGGCCTGAGGGGATGGACTCTTCCAGCTCTGCTGTCTGTTCGAGAAACCCTGGGCAAAGACTTTCCCTTCTACACATCAGTTTTCTTATCTGTGAAAACAACAACAATTATAGTATCTTTGTTTTACGTGAACCACTTTTTCACAATAGTCCCTTTACCGGTGGCATCCTGTTTAATCTCCACTACAGCCTGTGAAGTAGGGGACACTATGACAGGTCAGTAATGGGCAGAGCTAGGACAGCAGCCCAGGTCTGCTCACACGAAGAGTGAACAGGAAATTTTGCCCTACGCATTAGCGGTCTGTTTCATTTAAATGAGGAGGATGGGCTGTGTCTCTCTTTTGCTGTGTAGAACCTGCTTCATTTCCTTGCCTCCTTGTCTTCACTCCTATCTTTCCCTTTCTTCCTATGAAAGTAACTTTGCTCTCTGACAGCCGGGGCAGGGTACCTGGGCACACACAGTGTATGTGTGAGCCTCACAGAGCAGAGGGCTAATTAGAAGGCATTCACTCTTTAAACTCCCCATCTGAATTCCTGGTTAGAAGAAGCAACAGAAATTTTCCTGCTCTTTTCTGTTCTTTTATTTTTCCTTCATCTGTGTACTTGTGCCTTGCTACCCAGTACTCGTTTTGGACATGGGATGCATGCATTTCTTGTGTTTTTGTTTTCTTTCTTTCCCATTCCTTTTGGTAGAGAGTCAAACAGAACAAAATGTGTTTGAATAATTCAACAGTTCCACAGACATCTAGGCTGGACAGGGACCACAGAGAGAACTTGCTTGTCCCATTTAACTGTTGCTCAGGTATGTAAAGAGGTGAGCACTTAGAATCTGCGAAACATTTTAGGAGATGTGGTTTCCCAATGTATCCTGAATGTCCCAATCTGTACCCTACTTTCTCCATCAATCAAAGCCTTCTCTATCTCTAGTTGGAATTAACTTCTCTTTTCTAAATGCAAACCCTATCTTGCATCTCAGTGACCATGCTTCTACTAAGCACTTCTCTGTGTTGCTGACCCAGTTTTCTTGGATTGTAAATTCTTTTATTGTAAAGACAAATTTTTAATCTTATTTTTTGTGTGTTCACCATTGCAGCTCCCACCATCACCACTGAATAGTAATCATAATGACAGCAGCTTCCGTGTATTAAGTGTTACTCTTTATCAGAGACTATTCAAAAAACATCTTATTGAATCTGACATCAGCCTATTGAGACACATAGATTTACTTTTAAATAACTTTCCAAGAATTATATAAGTAAGAGGCTGAGCTAGGATTTCCAAACCAGGTTTGTCAGATTATTTAATTCCCAAGCTGGTGTTTCCAAGTTCTGTGATATTCTGCCAAGTGTAGTGGCTGAGAGAAAAAACCCTCCACAAGGAAATTCCAAGGTTGCCTTGCTAAGATTCGGAACTATCTGACAAAAAAGAACAA